GCAAATGGGCAATGGAGCCCTACGGCGGCGGGTCAACAGCAACCGTCAGATCAATCACGGGGGCGGAGCAATCGGACGGCGGAAAAAAGTCAGCTGAGTTCAGTTAATGAACAACGACGGCAAAGCGATCGGATCAACCCCGACGCTACGGGAGGATAGAGACGGCGCGTGCGCAAACGGCGTCAGATGTGGGCGGAGCGGATCCGGCAGGGGTGATCCGGTCGGCTCTCCGGTGTGGTTGGAGCGGGTGGGCCCCGCGAGACCTGGTCGCGCCAGCCCAGTGCCAGACTGTCCGAATTTCCCTCTCTTCGCGGCAGCCTTGATGCCTGCTCTTTTTTTTCCTTTTTTCCTCAGTAATAGTAACATTTTCTGTCTCGCGTTGAAAACTTGAAATAATTTGGATCTACGAGCTCCTCCTAGTACAGAGGAAGAGAGAGCAAAACAATTTCACGTTGCATCTCACGTACTACTAGTACATCGGTACACATATACCAACCGAATGGTTCAGACGTAACTACAGTACTAGTAGACGAGAGTATATATATGCAATATTGACAGTGTTTAGTTCCCTTTAAAATTCCAAATATTTCGTTACAACAAATGTTTGGATACATATGTAGAGCATTAAATATGGATGAAAAAAACCAATTGCACAGTTTACATGTAAATTACGAGACGAATCTTTTGAGTCTAATTACGCTATGATTTGACAATGTGATGCTACAATAAACATTTGCTAATAATAAATTAATTATGCTTAATAAATTCGTCGCACAGTTTAGCGAAATCTATAATTTATTTTATTATTAATATATTTTAAACTTTAAATATGTGTCTGTATACTTTAAAAAAATTTACACACCAACTAAACACGGTCATTGTGCTACTGCTGTATATTTAACTTTATACTAGTACTAGCATCCTGGTAGCAGTAGTGGAGGGAAACCGGAAAGAATCACTGACAGGAACAGTGTGCGGTCCGCTGTGTCCCAAAAGAAATCCAGGCATAGATTCCTTCGTCAATTCGTTAATCCAGCGCCTACCGTACCGTATGCTTGTTGTTCTGGGCTGGGAGCTGATACCTACTATAGATGTAGGAGCAGTTTGGTCACCGGATGCATGAAAAAAGAAAAAGAAAAAAAAAGAGGGGAAAAGAATTTCGCCGAATCCTGCAGCTGCTTTCTGCCAGTGACCAACCAATCGCCGTAAAGGCATCTTCTCCCTTTCCATTGCCACTGCTTGCAATCAGTAGTGTAGCACTGTACTACAAATACGAGTACCTAGCTATTTTTTTGCCCTTTTTGTTCTGAGGATAATATAGTGGATTCTGACGACGTAGGTGCATTTACGTCTCAAATTTGCACTAGTAGGGACAGCAAAGCTTTGGTCCTTTCAGAACAAAATTCGATTCTTGTGTGTTTCTCCCTTGTTTTTATTTGCAAACTGAATATTTATTTTTTTTCTTCGGACAAAAAAATAAACCTGAGTACTAGTACTACTAGTACGCAACAAATCATTTTTTTATGATGCATCAAGCATGTAAACGTGATGCAGCTAGTTTTATCCACTACAGAGCTTGCCAGCTTGGTTACCTATACTCAAGTGTAATAATATTTTTTTAAAATGCTGGATGATCTACTGGGTCACTGCCCAATTTTAAAATTTTTTATTACTCCATGTTGATTCCCTTTTGCTGAATTTTTTTCTGGCTCCAAGATGTATAAACAACAGATTTAAGTTTTGACTAGTACCACCTTGCTGCACTGGTGCACCTAGCATTTTAGCCCTGGAGTGCAGGTGATGACTTTGGAACGTGAACCAGGTGGGGTAGCCGGGGGCCTCTCAGCCGGTGCTACACAACAGAGACGGAGATGTTGACCTCCCCGGCTTTGCATCGACGGAAAAGATACCCAAGGATTCCGGGGTACACGTGAATGGACCCACCGCTCAGTGGCGCTTCTCCTGTCCGGGTTCTCTCGGTGGTGGTGCCGGTCAAGCGTGTTTGGCCCGGAACATTCGGATTTGTTGGCTCACACGTGTCAACCAGGGCCGACCGTATGTCTGTCCCTGGATTTTATGCTTCAACCTTGCTGTGTGGACGTGTGTGTGAGTACGAAAGGTTTTACGGTCGTACTCCGTCCATATGGTCTGCAAATTGCGACGACCTATCGCTATTCTTCAAGTAACACAAGGAGAAAACGTGAAATAAGCTGAAATAACAATCGTTCACACAATCACAGAAAGAGGAATGTGTGGTCCTTGTGTTGAAATTTCTAAGATACCGGTTCATACTTGAAGATTTCATCTTGAAACAAGACAACCTAAGACTTCTTCTTTTTAGAATAATGTATCGGCATGAATTTATGGGGGGCAGTGGCGCAGTGCCACTGATAAAGTGACAAGTTTAGGGGGGTATAATAGCACATTCAATTCTTTCTGGCTAAAAACAATTCATGAATAAAATCGTATATGACCTTTTTAAGAAACATACAACAAAGGGATTGGGAGTTTATAAGAGATAATTGGTAGAGATACTAGTCATGGGAGTTTAATTTTTTTACTTCTAGTCTCTTGTTTGATACAGTAGTAAATATGAGATTTACGAGAAATTCAAGTGAAAATTGAATTGTATAGCTTAGATTTATTTAGTCATACTTAGAAGACAATTTCTCTCCTAATTACGAACCCATACCCCGGTATTTAAAATTTAGAAGTTTCCTCTTAAACTTCTCTTCCCAACCCCTAGCTTGTAGAACTCCTGCGTCCACCAACCACTTAACAGCCCCCACCCCTCAAATTCTCATTTCATACTACCAATTCCTTCCAACCAAACGAGTTAGTAGGGCTTTACTGAAAATCCTTTTGCATATATAGGTACTCCCTTAAAAGTTATATTTGATTCGTATACTCAAATACACTAGGATACCAATGTTGTAAGGGCTATAACCTAGTAAAGACAACTACTATCTATACCGATTGTACATAGCATGCATTTATATCCAAGTATAAATCTAAATTTAACAGAGTATCTAATATTTTTAACTTTGTCATCGATAGACAGTGCTAATGTCGTGCAACACCGAATATGTTCTTAAATCATTATGCAAGTTATCTCTATCAGATATGACCTTCCATGTCTCCTCTTTCAACCTGCATAAACATTATATTTGAGAAGATGTGATATGAGCTAAAGACAATTCAATACTATGAATAGTAGTTTGGAATTCCCTCCAGTTATAAGACTTTCTAGTATTGCTTACTTTCATATAAATGCTAATGAATCTAGTCACACATATATGTCTAGATTCATTAACATATATATAAATGTGTGCAATGCTATAAAGTTTTATATTATGAAACGGAGGAAATATTTAATTTTTATTCCGACACCGTGAATGACACCTGGAAGATTTGTGGAAATATGTTTCATGAAGAAAGGCCAAAACCAAGAACCCTTTTAATATGACTGAGAAAAAGTACAATTAATATAATCTGTATATCAGATCATATCTCTTGGTTTTTATGCTACTAAATGGCACACAAATACTCATGAACAATTGAACATGGTGTATAAGGAGATAAAATCAGGAAAGTATCATCACCAAGATAACAATCAAATTAGTCTTATTGTATCCTTAAGAGTTGATTGGAATAGATTCACAGAATAATGATAGGGGATCGATTAAAATACAGTCCAGTGAGGCAAAGCCTTATTATATTCTTCCAAAAGAAACTCCAATTTTACAAGTGGACCTTTTGGGTTTCAGTTGTGCATTAGGAATGGATGATTTTGAAGACGTGACCGCTTACCAAGAGTATGAAGCCTGTTTTAGCTGTCAGCTCATGCTAATTAGCCATCTACGCTATTCACAAGGAAAAAAGGGGCCGTCCTTTTGGCCAGCAATGGAGGCATTTTTTCATGACAAGAGAGGTTTTGCAATGTGAGCACTACGCAAAGCTATATATATATTTTTAGGAGTATGCATATCTTCTCTCTAAAAAAAATCTTTATGCATGATTCTCTGTATTGTTATTATACCCACGCAACCATGCGACACATGGAAATACTATGGCAGTTGACTTGTTAGGCACTTAAATTAATAAAGCTGAAGCCTGATTCGTACTGTTTGGAGAAGTGGTATGAACATACAGAGAGCTACAGAAGAGAGAAGCAGGGTTTGGGCGCAGAAAGGTGGGTACGGGGTTGTTGGGTGGATATTTCGGTTTCCTAACTAATTCCAAACGCACCCCATGCAAGCAACCTTCTCCCGCGCACACCGCCGAGTCGGAAAAGAAAATTCGCACGCGATATGACGGGATTGCCCTCGTTTTATCCTATTGTTCCTCCACATCTCGGTGGATCACGTAATCTGGTTAGGGGCATCTTCGTCGATTGATGCTAGCAGTAGCAGGATCGCTCGCGTCGCGCGGCCTGGTGACTGGCCAACGTCGCCGGGTCCTACCAAAGGTTTTGAAAGCGACTTTTGCATAACCCTACCAATCTTTCCGTGAAAATACTACTTAACCTCGTGAAATACTAGTACTAGTATGGTTAGTCGGAACATGAGGAGGACTCTGCTACGAGTTCGGGAAATCGCATCCGGGCCCACCTGACCGTGGCTTTGCTGCGTGGCGGCACAAGTCTGGTCCCACCGGTGAACCTTCACCTTGGCGCCGTTGCTTGCCAAACACACGCGGCTGGAAACGTAAGTTGAAACCGGGGGGAATTTGTAGAAAAGAAAAACCAACAGGGGCGGTGGCGAGGCCAGCCGTAGCCAGGTCCCTCCCGCAGACTCCCAGTCTAGCCTTGTTGCCTCGCCTCCTCGCCGCTCGAAAGGTGGGTTGGGGGGGGGGGGGGGGGAATTGCGTGACGCGACGCGAGCCATAACCCCTCCTCCTCCCCTCCGTCTCCGTTTCCATTCCCTGGCACACGCCATTCGCCTCGCTTGCCCGCGCATTTATTTTCCGCAGCGAGCGGGCCCCGCCATAACGCCTCTCCCGATAAACGCAAGGCGGGTGAAGGGAAGTGAAGCCCACCAATTCCTCGACGCCTGTGGCCCACGCCGTCAGTGGGAGTGGCGGTGTCGGGTCCGGAACGAAACGGCGGGGTTTCTTTTTCTTTTGTTTCGGAAGCGTATAATAACAGCATATGGGTGAGGGCGTTTTATTAGCACAAGCAATTGAATGGCACCGGTTTTTAGCTGGTGGAGGCTGGGAGCCATATAGCATTTGGAGCTAGCCTAGCGGTATTCCTCTCCTAGCCTCCCCTCCTCCTCCTCCTCCTCCTCGGTAGATTCGTCTCGTCGTCGCCGTCGCCTCCCTCCTCTCCGTCCCTCACCTCCTTGCATGGAGCCAGGCGCGCCGTGGCGCGATCCGCGCCAGGGGTACCTGTATGGCGTCGGATCGGCGGTGCAGATGCCGATGCAGCAGCGCTCCGACGCGGCCGCGGCCGGCGGGGTGCTCAAGAGGAGCCTCGGCGACATGGAGAGGTGGCAGCAGCACCAGCATCAGCAGCGACAGATTGCGATGCAGCAGCAGCTGTACCTGCGAACCGTGAGGCAGCGCACGGCCGCGGCGTCGGCGGCCGTCTCGCCGCTCACCTCGGCGGATATCGCGGCTGTTCTAGGCGGGCCACCGTCCCAGCCTCTGGTTCTATCCGGGTCCAGCATGGGAGGGGCCTTCGGATCGCCGTCGTCGACGCTGTCGTCCATCACCACCGCGTCCAGGGCGGTGGCGATGCCGCTCATGCAGCCACAGCTGCAGCGGCAGCAGCAGGTGACATACATGGCGTCCTCGCCACAGGTTCAGGCCTTTGGAACGGCGAGGGCGCTGCCTCCAGCGCCGGCGACGAGCGACCTGTCCATCCTGCAGGAGCTCGAGAAGCAGCTTCTCGGAGACGACGATGAGGTGGAGGCCGCGATGAGCGGGACCGGCTCCGCGGTCACCGGGTCCGAGTGGGAGGAGCAACTCAACTCCATCACCGCGGCGCCGTCGCCCCCACTTACTGCGGCGACGACCCCGAACAACAACAATAACGCCGTGGGTATGACGCGGTCGCCCTCGAACTCGTCCACCTCCACGGCGTCTTCCTCGGCTTCCTGTTCGCCGCCGACCTCGGCCACCACGTCGCGGCAACTACTCTCCGAGGCGGCGGCTGCCATCGCCGACGGACACAATGAAACGGCGGCCACTCATCTGACCGCCCTCAAGCGCGCGGCGAACTCACGCGGCGACGTGGAGCAGCGGCTGGTTGCTATGATGGTGGCGGCGTTGTCCTCCCGCATTGGTCAGACCGCCTCAGTCCCGGACATCTGCGGCGGCGAGACGCGCGCCGGGTCCCAACTCCTCCACGACATATCCCCGTGCTTCCGCCTCGCCCTCCACGCTGCAAACGTGGCCATCGTCGACGCCGTCGGCGACCACCGCGCCATACACCTGGTGGACTTCGACGTCAGTGCCCCGCAGCACGCCGACCTCATCAGGTGCCTCGCTGCTCGCCGGTTGCCCGGAACCTCCCTGAAGGTCACCGCCGTCACCGATCCCGCCTCACCATTCACGCAGTCTGTAACAGCAACACTCCACCTCCAGAAGCTCGCCGAGCGAGCGGGCATAGATTACCGGTTCAAAATGGTGAGCTGCAGAGCAGGGGAGATAGAAGCATCCAAGCTGGGGTGCGAGGCCGGGGAGGCGCTGGCTGTCAACCTGGCGTTCGCGCTCTCCCACGTCCCCGACGAGAGCGTCTCGCCGGCGAACCCGCGCGACGAGATCCTCCGGCGGGTGCGCGCCCTCGGCCCGCAGGTGGTGGCCCTCGTGGAGCAGGAGCTGAACTCCAACACGGCCCCGCTGACCACGCGCTTCACCGACGCGTGCGCGCACTACGGGGCCATCCTGGAGTCGCTGGACGCCACGATCCCCCGGGAGAGCGCGGAGAGGGCGCGTGCTGAGGCGGCGCTGGGCGGGAGGGCGGCGAACGCGGTGGCCAGGGAAGGCGCCGACCGGCTGGAGCGGTGCGAGGTGTTCGGCAAGTGGCGCTCCCGGTTCGGCATGGCGGGATTCCGGCCGGTGGCGCTCGGACCGGGCATTGCTGACCAGGTGTTGGCCCGGCAGGGCCCCGTCGCGGCAGGGTTCGCCGTCAAGGCGGAGAACGGCGTGCTCCGGCTCGGATGGATGGGGCGCGTGGTCACCGTCGCCTCCGCCTGGCGTTAGACCAGGGGATGCCGCGACATTATTGCCGTCACCAAATCGGTCACTTAATTAATTCGCGCTCTTTTTCCATTTTTTTCATTTTCCATTTGGTGAGTGAGTTTGGTATTGATCTGGTAAAGCTTAATTAGTTGTAGCAACTCATAATTCTTGGTAGCTAATGCTTATATATGGAAAAAGAGTAAATTATATCACAATTACTTGCTGTTTCTCGCTCGTGGTTCCGTTGCTTGATCAAGATGTAGATAGAATTGGCTGATACGTACATTGCCTAACAAGTGGGCGCAAACGTGCATCCGGTCCTACCTTTTTCTCTTGTTGATTGATGCTTCCTGGCCACGTAGACAGCGGATGATGTTTTCTCCCTGACGTAGTATCAAGCCAAGTAGAGCCATGACCCATGGTACTAGTAGCAGTAACAAAACTGCCAACTTGGTAGTAATAGTACTTGTTTACTGCTCTTAAATTAGCTGTTTGCAGCCTGCTCAACCCACGGAATTGAACGGTTAAAATCTTAAAATATTTGATTGCTTTTGGGATTAAAGTATAGAGAAGGTTTGGGAGGAAGGATGGGGAAGAGATGTGCACGAAAGGATTTGCCAACGCATTGCAGCACCGAGCATTGGGATTTGCTACGTGCCTCTTCGATTTGGCCTGGGCACGTACACTTGTTGCCAAGTTGGGCATCTGGTTGCGTTCGTGGGGACGGAAGGGAAGGGGCCCCGGGTCTTGTGGTGCGAGGAGGAATTGTCTACTTCTTTCTGCTTGCTGTGTGCTTCAAGCTACGGCCAAAGCCGGTGCGTGGAATCCGCGTGCCGGACTTGGCTCTCGTGTGCGGAATACCAATTCCGGACTCTGTGATGGACGTTTCATGCGCCACAGGGAGAGGACCTGGTTGATTGGCCACGCTTGGCTCTACGGTTTGCTCGTCCATGGGTTCAACGCGTCACACGTGTCCCTTGTGCTTACCTGATCGATGTTCACGCGAGATCAACATGGTTAGTGATTTTGTTGCTTTGGTTGGATCCGTGAACGAGTGTGATTTGTCTTAAGGCCCTGTTTAATTCCCAAATAAAAACTTTTCACCCTGTCACATTAAATATTTCAACACATACATGAATTATAAAATATATAAAAAATTAATTATACAGATTGCGTGTAAATTGCTAGACGAATCGTCTAATTGCGTCATGATTTGACAATATGGTGCTACAGCAAATATTTGTTAATGGTGAATTAATTAGGTTTAATAAATTTGTCTTGTAGTTTACAGGCGGAATCTGTAATTTGTTTTGTTATTAGATTACGTTTAATACTTCAAATATGTGTCCGTATATCTGATATGACACGCTAAAACTTTTCGATCGTCTCACGAACTAAACAAGGCCTAAGTAGTAATGTTTATCAGGATCGGGATACTATTATCTAGAATTATTTGGTTTTAACATGACAATATAGGATCAGGATCTGGTCAGATTTAAGAAAGTACTACGTAATTTTAAATAAGAGTCGTAGTACGTTGTAAAAATTGAAGGCTACAATATTAACTTTTAATTTTGACTAGAAAAAAATGCCCGTGCGTTGTAACGGGTGAAGTGTATTTTAATTTTATTATTGTTATATGATTTAGTTAAGATAAAATTCAATGTGAGAGTCTGCTTGGATATATATTTTTTTAGAAAATCATGAGCTGCAGCTAGAAGTCCGATCGTCTTAAGTTAGCATGCGGGTTTTTTTAAATATAATTCTTATATGATTTCTTCTGTATTATCAAAAGTGAATGATCTTAAAAACTGACTCAAATACAAATTTGTATTTCCAAAAGCAATCGAACTTAAAAACCGACTCATATACAGATGACGTACCAAAATACCGGTAAAACATCTTCAATTTTTATAATAGTAGAGAAGAGATACATACAACTGAACAGACAAGATATATTCGTAGTAATAGCATATGTCCTATTTAATCAAAACTAATATTTTAGAACATTTTAGAACGTAGATAGTACTTTGGATTGGAATACTATGGAAAAATTATATTACATAGTGGGATCTTAGTATCAGTCTGGTTGCACGTTTCCGGTATCATCTTACAAAAGAGTAGTACATGTTAGACTTTGCTCTAGGATCACCTAGGTTAGATCTAGTCGGGTGGTTCTATTTGGGATTGATGTTTGAACTATAGAGATTGAAAACGGGAGAGGGTTTAGATAGACCGACCGGTTGAGGTGTTGGAGGATGAAGAAGTGCCGGCCATCGTCGTCGTTGGCGCTCGGTTGTCGTGGATGCGGCGCCGGTGAGGTCGACGGCGATGACGGCTGCGGGAGTGACGGTCGTAGATGTCCTGGCGATGAGGTGTGGCGCGGCGGTGGCGCTTCCCGTCACTGGCTGCGCCCCCTCTCGATCGGATTAGGGTTTGTAGGGTGGAGTTGGCGGCGGCGGTGAATCTCGTACCTCGTGCCGTGCCGGCCTCCACCCCTCTTTTATATGGCGCAGTGTGACGGGGCCCACCAGCCATTGGGCTGGACGCCCCCGATCAGGGCGCGGTCAAGGCCCCCTTGAGCCGTTGGGCTCAAGGGGAGGGAGATCAATCTAACATTCTCCCCCTTGATCTCACTTTTTCTTTTAGCTTTTTCTATTCCATCACAGATTTGTAAATAGAGCATGTTTCATCATCACGGTCAATCACCGATGGATTCGACAGCCACTATACACATCTCTATTCAGAAACAGATACTTTACTTTTGGGCCCTGTAGTCCAGGATTCATAAGGCTTCCCTTAAACCCATGCCGGCTACATGTTCCTTGAACACGTTGGGTGGTAGGCCTTTCGTGAGCGGATCCGCGAGCATCCTTTCTGTTTTAATGTGCTCGAGACTGATTGTTTGATCCCGGACTTTGTCCTTCACAACATAGTACTTTATGTCAATGTGTTTGGCAGCACCACTTGACTGATTGTTGTGAGCGTACATTACTGCGGGTTCGTTGTCGCAGTATAACTTTAGTGGTTTCTCAATACTGTCAACCACCTTTAAACCGGGTATGAACTTCTTTAGCCAGTTCACCTGCCCCGTTGCCTCATAGCATGCTATAAACTCGGCATACATAGTAGACCCTCCAGTGATAGTCTGTTTTGAGCTTTTCCATGAAATAGCTCCTCCTGCCAGGGTAAACACGTATCCCGATGTTGACTTTGTATTATCTTTTGCAAAGTCAGAATCTGAGTACCCCACTATCTGGAGTGATTCTGATCTTCTGTAAGTCAGCATGAGGCCTTTTGTTCCTTGCAAATAACGCAAGACTTTCTTTACCAATTTCTAGTGCTCTAGGCCTGGATTACTCTGAAATCTGCCAAGTAACCCGGTAACAAATGCCAAGTCAGGTCGTGTGCACACTTGCGCGTACTGTAGGCTTCCTACAGCTGACGCATATGGCTTTGTTTTCATTTCATTGAGCTCATACTTATTTCTGGGACATTGCGATGCCCCATACTTTTCGCCTTTCATTATAGGAGCAGGTGTAGCACTGCATCTGTACATGTTGAATTTCTTCAACACCTTTTCTATATATGTCTTTTGAGAAAGTCCCAATGCATACTTTGTTCTATCTCGGTGAATCTCTATGCCCAAAACATATGAAGCCTCACCGAGGTCTTTCATGTCAAAGTTTGAGGACAAGAATTTCTTTGTTTCCTGCAGTAGACTGACATCACTACTAGCCAGTAGAATGTCATCCACATACAGAATTAGGAAAATAAATCTCCCATTCTTAAACTTTGAATAAATACAGTTGTCCTCGACATTCTCTTAAAACCCAAATTTTTTTATTGTCCCATCAAACTTCAAGTACCACTGTCTCGAAGCTTGCTTTAATCCATAAATGGATCTCTTTAGACGACATCCCATATTTTCGTTTCCTTTCATGACAAAACCTTTCGGTTGCGCCATGTATACTTTTTCCTCCAAATCTCCATTTAGAAATGCCATTTTTACATCCATCTGATGTAATTCCAAATCATAATGTGCCACTAGTGCCATTATAATCCTAAAGGAATCTTTACAAGAGACTGGAGAAAATGTCTCATTGTAATCAATCCCTTCTCGTTGCGTGAAGCCTTTTGCCACAAGTCGCGCTTTAAACTTTTCTATATTCCCTCTGGAGTCATATTTGGTTTTGTAGACCCATTTACAGCCTACTGTTTTGGCTCCTTTAGGAATTTCTTCTAAATCCCAAACATCGTTTAGTTTCATTGATTTCATTTCATCTTTCATGGCTTCCAACCATTCAGATGAGCGAGCGCTTCTCATGGCCTCTTCATATGAGGTGGGATCATCCTCCATATGCGACTCTTCTATATTATAAACTTTATAGTCATCACGGATAGCCGATCTTCTGACTCTTTCAGACCTTCTAGGGGCCTGCACATTTGGCACATCCTGTACCTGAGGCTCTTGATGAGTCTCCTGTACTGGCACATTATCTATTTGAGGCTGTTGTAGCTCCTCCTCTGGTGTGGCAACCATTTCTGTTGAATCCTGTATAACAGGTTCCTCACTCTCATTCATTGTTGCCACAGGAGGGGTAACAACAGGTGCTGGTACCTCAATGACAGGCATTGCAGGCACAACATCAGCAGGTAGAGAGAAGAAAGGTTCCTGAGTCGACGGAGCGGGTACAGACACCCGCCTCTCCTCAAGATCAATTTCTCGAACTACCGAGCTCCCCCTAATCATTCCGTCTTCCAAGAAGACGGCGTGTCTCGTTTCTACAAACTTTGTATAACTGTTTGGACAGTAGAAACGATAGCCTTTTGATCTTTCAGGATAGCCAATAAAATGGCAGCTGACTGTTTTGGGGTCCAACTTCCCAATATTTGGGTTAAATACTTTGGCCTCTGTAGGACTCCCCCACACACGGAGGTGAGTTAGCGAGGGTACTCTTCCTGTCCATAGCCATAAGGGTACGGTTGCGCCTTTCAGCTACCCCATTCTGTTGAGGTTCGCCCGGTGTTGAATACTGGGCTACTATTCCATTCTCTAGCAAGAACCTTGCAAAAGGTCCAGGGACTTGCCCATAAGGCGTATGTCGACCATAGTACTCCCCCCCACGGTCAGATCTTACTACTTTAATCTTTATATCATGCTGATTTTCAACTTCAGCTTTGAATATCTTAAATTTATCCAGTGCTTCTGATCGCTCTTTAATTGG